TGTGTGTGTGTGTGTGTGTGTGTGTGTGTGTGTGTTTGTATTCTGGATATTAACCCTTAATCAGATATATAATTTGCAAATATTTTCCCCCATTCCAGATTGCCTTTTCCCCTGACTTTTTGTTAAAAAAATTATTTTTAATGTTTATTCATTTTTGAGAGACAGAGAGGGACAGAGCGTGAGTGGGGGAGGGGTAGAGAGAGAGGGAGACACAGAATCTGAAGCAGACTCCAGGCTCTGGGCTGTCAGCACAGAGCCCGGCATGGGGCTTGATCTCATGAACCATGAGATCATGACCTGACCAGAAGTCAGACACTCAATCGACTGAGCCACCCAGGCACCCCTGTTTGTTTGTTTTTTTAAGTGTTTATTTATTTATTTTGACAGAGAGAGTATGTGAGCGGGGGAGGGACATTTTGACAGAGAGAGAGAGAGTATGTGAGCGGGGGAGGGACAGAGAGAGAGAGAGGAGAGAGGAGAGAAAGAATCCCAAGGAGGCTCTGTGTCCTCAGTGCAGACCCTACTCAGGGCTCAATCTCATGAACCATGAGATCGTGTCCTGAGCCAAAATCAAGAGTCAGATGCTTAACCCACTGAGCCACCCAGGCCCGGTTTGTTTTTAAGATATTGGGGCTTAGAGTGATTTAGTGACTTGTAAAGTTCACAAATATCATATTGGAGCCACTGGGACTTGAACCCAAGTGTCCTACCCTTTACCTAGTCTCCTTTTTTTACTGTCTCACTCCACTCCCTAACATTTGGTCACATCAACATAGGCAGTAGTTTGTCTTGTATAGGCAAAGTACCAAGTAATGCAATTCAATTGGTCCTTTGTATGACCCAGGCTCTTGCTGCTCTCCCCAAGTAGTCCTCCTCTCCCACCATCCGGTGCTGATGCTTACAGAGATACAGAACACATCTGGGTGCCTTTAGTTATGTTAATTAGCCAATTAATTAAATTTATTTTCTTCATTGCTTCCACCTTAAAATGCTCTATTTTGTGGGGCACCTGGGTGGCGCAGTCGGTTAAGCGTCCGACTTTGGCCGGGTCACGATCTCGCGGTCCGTGAGTTCGAGCCCCGCGTCGGGCTCTGGGCTGATGGCTCAGAGCCTGGAGCCTGTTTCCGATTCTGTGTCTCCCTCTCTCTCTGCCCCTCCCCCGTTCATGCTCTGTCTCTCTCTGTCCCAAAAATAAATAAAAATGTTAAAAAAAAAATGCTCTATTTTGTTCCTTAAAATGTTTTTAGGAATCAGAACATGTTTTCCAGAGGCCATTTTATTTACTTGAACAACTGCTTGCTATTTTACAATGAAGGCAGCTGATGGGTTTTTCTACCACATTTAAAGAAGAGCCTTTTATTAGATGGAGCAAGTTTCCATCCATGCCAAATTAATCCTAAAGCATTGATGCTAATAAATGCAGGCCACTGCTGAGTAGAGTGCCTGACACAAAGTAGGTCTCCAATAAACATTTGTCAGATGAATGCCGCGATGCCACAAGGGGGGAGGATTTATAGGGGAAGCAGGCTCAATTGTTTGATTTGGCAGGGGAAAAGAAGCAGTATTTTCTACATTATGGCTTCTGTGGAAATTGGTTTTATTTGTCTCATTCTTCATGTCTGAGGCTGCGGGACACAGCATCCTCAGGAGGGGGCAGGAATAAATCTCTGCAGAAGAACACAGCAAGCTGAAGTAGGCTTTCTGGATGGATGTTTCAGGGATCCTAATCGTGGGCCCTTTAGATCAAAGCGTCCTGCTTCCCCACTGTATTGTGGGAAGCTCTGAAAAAGGATTCTTGAAAAAACAAGGCAACTGTTTGGCCTTTCAACATGATTTCTTTCCAACAAAGACCCTTTGAGTAAATCGCTAAACTTTCCTGGGCCTCAGTTTCCTTTCAGCAGCAATAATGGAGTTGGACCAGAGGAGCTACTTTCCTGGGGCTCTAAGATGCCATGTTTCTAGTTTAGTATTCACTGTGCAGGAAAGTCTAGAAAAACAACTTGAGCAGGTCTGAGAGTTAAATGTACATATTTTAATTTTTTTAATGTTTGTTTATTTTTGAGAAAGAGACAGAGTGTGAGTGGGGGAGGGGCAGAGAGCCGGAGACATAGAATCTGAAGGAGGCTCTAGGCTCTGAGCTGTCAGCACAGAGCCCGATGCGGGGCTTGGACCCAAGAACTGTGAGATCATGAGCTGAGCTGAAAATGGACGCTTAACCAACTGAGCCACCCGGGCACCCCTAAATGTACATATTTTAAATCAGATCCAAACTGTCATGGAAGTTTCTGGAAAACTTAAACAGATCATTTTGCCTGCTTTTTAGTTTTTATTTCAACAATTATCTCCAACTATAATCTCAGCTTATAACTTCAGTTATGCGTTAAATATGATTAATATCTTATGCATATGATTATATTTGAGTGTGATAGCATCGTAGTTAGTCCATGTGAATACTTGATTTCTGTTTGTTAATGTGGTAATGTTGTCTGGCTGCCTACCTGTCTTCAAGTATCCTTCCTATGTTTTGGGGTAACTTCCCATTTTAAGAGGCTTGTCCCTCCAAGGCAGAAGCCCCAACACTCGCTTCCCCAGCTTTCCAAATGGCAGCTAGGATGTGGCAGCTTTGTGACATAGCTGCTCGGACACAGGAACTTGAGAGTCTGAGAAGCAAGCAATGTGATGGGATATGCTTCAACATTTTTTGTCAGTAAAAGAATATGACTGATGCTTTAGTAACAGTTATTTATTCATTCAACAAATCTTATACTCAGAGCTGAAAAGGATATGGTGATTAGTTAAGATACAAGCCCTGTCTCTGAAAGCTCACCTGTTTTAGTATGTATGTATGTATGTATGTATGTATGTATTTATAATGTTAATTTATTTATTTTTGAGAGTAAGAGAGAGAGAGAGAGAAAGAGAGAGAGCAGGTGAGGGGCAGAGAGACAGGGAAAGAGAGAATCCCAAGCAGGCTCTGCACTGTCAGCACAGAGCCCCAGGTGGGGCTCAAATTCACAAACTGTGAGATCATGACTTGAGCCAAAATCAAGAGTTAGAGGCTTAACCGACTGAGCCA